CCATATGTGTTTCACAGCTTGTTCTGTACACCTATCTAAAGTTAGTGCTGATGATGTCGTTCAGAAGAACGATGAAAGCTCCACGACCAAACCATCCAGCTCAGAGAACAAAACTCCATCAAAAAGGATTATTATTATTATTGTTTGTTTTAACTGCTTGGAATGTTCGGTCTTGTCAGTTTACGTTGTTAATGTCTGTACTGTTTTATTTAAAATAGTGTTTTAATAAGTATTCTTGTACCTGTTGTCATATGATAATTAGTTATTTACCTACGCCTGTTACTTCTCATCGAGGAGCATAGGCCATCCATTAGCACTGGCCATCCAACACTGTCCTAAAAAATCTTTTCCACTTGTTTCCAGTTGCTATTCATCCTTTTGGTGTCTTTTTTCAATTCCCAACGTTATGTGTTCTTCGGCCTTCCACTTCTCCGTTTTCCTTCAGGATTCCAAGTTAGAGTTTGCCTCGTGATACAGTTTGGTTATTTCCGTAATGTACGTTCTATCCACTTCCAGTGTGTTTTTCTAATTTACTCTTCAGCTGAGAGCTGGTTTCCGCTCTCTCAGTAGGCTGTTACTGATGGTATCCGACCAACGGACATTTAATATCTTACGTAGACATGTGTTTATAAATACTTGTACATGTTTGATGATGGTTGTAGTAGTTCTCCACGTCTTAGCTCCATACAGTAGAACTGACTGTCTTGACGTTCGTTTTGAAGATTTTGACTTTGACGTTGGTCGACAATCATTTCGAGCTCCGTATGTTCTTCAATTGTAGGAATGCGGCTCTTGCTTTGTCAATCCTCACCTTTACACCCGCATCGGATCCTCCTTGTTCATCAATGATACTGACCAGGTACATGAAAGATTCCACCTATTCCAGAGTTTCTCCGTCAAGTGTGATTGGTTTGGTGGATTTGAGGATGTTGCTTTCCCTTTTGTGTATGTTGAGGCCTACTGATGCAGAGGTTGTGGCTACATTATTTGTCTTCATTTACATTTGTTGGTGTGTATGAGGACTCAGTAGCTAAATGAAGAACGCGACGGCGTTTGAAATGAACGGTACTGAGTTTGAATCACAGAGTGAACATCAACTCTGAGATGCAGGTACATTCAGTTGACCAGTCCTAAATAGGACGAAACGCGTGTCGAACTGGATTCCACCGATTGCCACTATCCGTCATTGCTTAGAATGATAGTGAATTAAGACAATATCAAGGAAATCCATACAGAATGCACATATACCAATATGAAACTGATCAATCGCAGTCCTAATCATCGACGGGAAGATTCAAGTGAATTAATACTTATGTGATTATTATTATTATATCTGTAATTACCTACATTGGAATAATATGAAATATAACTTGTCCTGTTCTTTTGATCCCAATTATTTTAATGAATTGGCGGAAACCTGTAAAACTACGAAAGCCATCATCCAGAAGATACCAGTGTTTATTAACAGTTGACTACGCAAAATACTTCGGATCCGCTGGTCGAACAGTATTAGCAACAACCTATTGTGGGAGAGAAGAGACCGAATTCCAGAGGAGCAAGACACACATTGAGGAAAGCACCCGATTGCGTCACAAGACAAGTCCTCATATGGAATCCTCGAGGTCAAAGGAGAAAAGGAAAACCAAAGAACACATTACATCGAGAAATAGAGACAGACATGAGAAGAATGAACAAGAATTGGATGGAATTAGAAAAGAAGGCCCAGGACAGAGTGGCTTGGAGAATGCTGGTCGTTGGCCTATGCTTCATTGGGCATAACAGGCGTAAGTAAGTAAATTTCAATGAATTCATTTAAAACAATCACAAGAAATGAGACTCAAACAAACATAAAATCAATAATCAATATTCTACTAACCCAATAGAATATATACTTTATCATTTTCCTCATATTCACTTGTCAACTGACAAAAGTTTTATTCGGTATATTGATTTGTTTATTATTTATGTATACTTATATATATATATATATATATATATATATATATATATATATATATATATATATATATATATATATATGTTAAGGGTGTATACATTACAGTGTATAATCCCATCCATTGTTACCATATAACTTACCTAGTCAAACTAATCTAGTTATTGGAAATTGAGTATAATTACATTTATCCATATACATATATATGTCTACATACAGTATGACAACATATTTTGAAAGTTTCACCATAGTTGAAAGTATACATACTATGGATACAGTAATGATTTAATGGCATATGCTATTAATAATTTCCTTCTTGTGAGATAGATTAATTCATACTGTAGATTATGTTGGTCAAAATGACATTTCAAATTGAGAATGGTGATTATAATAACTATAAATCCGAGAGGGATTTTGTGGATATTATAATCAGTCAGCACTTGAATTCATGAGTCAATTGAAACTAAACCACCAAGGGAAAACCTGGAAACACTGGATGGTTGTTTCGTCCTATAGTGTGCATCCACGATCTCACCTCACAAGATTCGAACCCTGGACTTATCTGTCTCGCATGTGAACGCTTAACATTTAGAACATTGAGTTGGCCGGCATCCAATAATGTTAATGTCTAAATTCAACTAGTCCACGAAATTGAGCGACACATCCACCATTATCATCAGTGAGTTACTATCTCACAACAGACCCAGTTGAACTCTGCTGATCATTAATTCTCACTAGAACTCTAGGAAAAATCCTCTTGATAATAATCAGAGGGGAGTCAAAATAACTTAACCGATTTATATCAAAGTGTTATATATTCTAATATCCCCATTTTTCAACTACATACTCTATAAAATTAACGTTGAATTATGTCAGATTATTCATTTTTTGAGGAGTTGGTGATAGTAGTAGATAAACAGTGATAGGGTTAGGTTTCATTTAAATTGATATCTATCACCAAAATGTATCTTCAGTCTTAAAGGAACTGATATTAATCACCTGTCCCATATAGTCTTCAAGTAAGAGATGTTATCATTCAGATAAATGAATGTGATATATGGACACCGATTATCCCTAAAAACATCCATAGAGATACCGCCCTATTTAGACTTGTGGCCAAATTACAAATTAACTGATATTTGTAAACATGTAAAAAAGGTGACAAGAAGATGAAACTAGAAAATATGTCCTTTCTGGTTACATTGATCGAAATTTATATCCTCAAATGAGTCGCGAGTTTGAATTCTTGGTGACATCTCTTATATGGTATATGTTGATAAAAAATTAATGGAAAAGTTGTTCTTAGCAATAAATCATGATAAATTTTGTTTTTATTCACGAAATTGCGCAACCATCTTCCATTGTACTGAGGTAGATACCTGTCTCTACACGACTCAAGTTAGCTCAACTGGTCACGGTTTCTCAGTAGAACTTCGAAAATTCCCTCACGAAGCTGGTCACTAGTGAACACATGGTAATTATCAATATGTGGTTTGTGGAAGCTGTGACCAGTGGAACTAATCCGTGTCGGGTAGAGACAAGGATATGCCTCAATACAATGGAAGATGGTCGTGCAATTTCATGGATTGAGATTAGACATTAACAGTGTTTGAGACCGGTTCTGTGGTCTAGAGATTAAGCGTGTGCGAGCGAAACCTAAAACCCTTGATTCGAGGTCCCATGAGCGGGACCGTGGATTCGCACCGATTTGAAGTTCCACAGTTGGACAAAACGACCGTACAGTGCTTCCAGGTTTTCAATGATGGTCTAAAATCAACCGGTTCATGATCTCAATCAAAAACTTAATAATCACCACAACTCCATACTGGTTTATATTAAATTACAAAACAGGTTAAAAGATTGCATTTCAATACCATATACACTGTGATGAAGTATCCTACAGACGTTGAATTAATCGAATGATTTACACTAAAGTATGGACAGCTTATTTTGCTGACAAAAAGCATATCGAAATAATTTAATTTATACACAATTTTACTACTTACAAGTAGACAAAAATAAATAAACGAAATTCTAACCGATGAACATGCTTCTAATCTACAGTAATGAAAGATCTAAAGAACGAACTTCTTGGAATAAAACTAACGATAAGTTTCAACTAAATTGAGATTAAACTCGTTTTTATCTCGCAGCTTCGCTTCCTGTATGTTGACTTTGTCTGTTTCAAGTACTAATTTAGTTATTAAAACTCTCTAGTTTGACTCAACTTCAGATGTTTAAATGTCACATGAAGTTTTAAGGTATGATGTTGCTTCTACTTATGTTATTCATTTTTGTTTCATTCTCAATGCTTCATTACTTTCTTCACCTTGTTATACAGTTTCATTCGCATAACTTTTGATTTACTCATTCATATGGTGACACATATGTCTCCATTGAAATATAAATCTCAATCAACTCTGTATGTAATCACTAAGATGAAAGTGTGATATACGGAATTTAATGTGAAATGTGTTGTGTATGTGTATGTGTATACTTTAGGTACTTTTATAAGCAAACAAACCATAAAAGAAGACAAAACAATACAACGAGTTATTTGGATCGACTACGAAATCAATCGACAAGTGGATTGATGCTTCAGTTTATATACAAGTCAAATAAGCAAAGAATCAAATAAACAATAAGCAGATATATCCTGAATTATCTTTATTCAGACATAAAGTCAAGGCTAATTATGCATGAATACATACGATGTAAACGATAAGATTCCAAAGATTCATTCAATGATCCCGAAAGTGTTTGTATCAATTTATCAATTTAATTCATCACTTAATTGTTAATCTAAATAAGTATTTATTATTATCATCAAAAAAAAGTATGAAGTTGTTACATCCTTTGTATGAACTACTACTTGAATCGCGTACTTGATCTGGAAACAGCGCTTAATCTATACTCTATAAATGATTGTATTAAATTTTACCACAATATCATATCATCTAATTTATGGAAGCCTTCAATTCAACTACTATTTATCTGTCAAACACAACTCTTTGTAAGTAAATAGTTCGTAATAAAATATAGTTATGGGGGGTATAAGTAACTTCTTATTTCAATGTGTTATCACAATTCAAAAGTCAAACAAATAATAGAGTTAACAAATAGTTACTTCTCATTTTAAAAAAATTGATGGCGAAATCCTGGAAGATGTAGAATTTTTCAAACATCTGGGAAGCATCATCGATGAACAAGGAGGATTAGCAAAGCAAGAGCCGCATTCCTTTAACTGAAGAACATATGGAACTCAAAACAACCTTCAACTTATATCAAAGTCACAATCTTCAATACGTACGTCAAGACAGTCAGTTCTACTGTACGGAGCTGAAACTTGGAGAAGTACAACAACCACTATCAAGAAGGTACAAGTATTTATAAATAGCTGTCTACGCAAGATACTCAACATCCATTGACCGGATACCATCAGCAACAGCCTTTTGTGGGAGAGAACAAACCAGCTTCCAGCTGAAGAAGAAATTAGGAAAAGACGATGGAAATGGGTGGGACATACACTACGGAAATCATCGAACTACATAACCAGGCAAGTCCTGACTTGGAATCCTGAAGGGAAGCGGAAAAGAGGAAGGTCGAAGAAAACATTACCCCGGGAAATACAAGCAGATATGAAAAGGATGAATAAGAACTGGAAGGAGCTGGAAAGGATTGTCCAGGACAGGGTTGGATAGCGAATGCTGGTGAGCGGCCTATGCTCCTTCACGAGGAGTAACAGGCGTAACTAACTAAGTAAGTAAGTCATTTAAAAAATACCTAACAGAAAAGAAAAACAGTCAATTCAATTTCCTTTTTAAAGTTCTGTTGTATTATCTATTCAGAATTTATCATTTCATCTTTCATAGTATTCATCTTCTGTCAATGGAATCAATTTATCAGTACGCTGTAATTTATATTCAAATTCAGCTAATTGTATCATAAAATTCCAACTTGGTTGCATAGGTATACAGATCTTTCGTAAATACATCCATGCATCCTACAAAAAATTAATAGAATTAAATAATTGTATACAATATGATGAACTAAGTGAGAAAGAAAGAAACAATACGACAAGATAAAACTGGAATGATATACCACCATTAGAAACCTGGTAGCATTGGACGGTCATTTTGTCCTAGTAGCAATATGAATACACTATTCTTCATGCACGATTCGAATTCAGGACCTTTGGTCTTGTGTATGAACGCTTAAGTTTTAGATCGCTGAGCCAGCATCTAACCAGGTCGGGTGCGAGGCAATCGCCCACCGAAGACACTGGAAGATGATCGCGCGAAATCTTGAATTGATTGAAATTAGACAATAACACTGCTGGACGCCGACCCAGTAACCTAGAGGTTAAGGGTTCGTGAGCAGGACTAAAGGTCCTGGGTTCGGATCCTGAATGAGGAGTCGTGGATTCGCATTGCTGAAGAGCCCTGGACTAAGACGAAAAACCATCCAGTGCCCCCAGTTTTTCAACGGTAGTTTAACATTCATCAGTTCATGGTCTCGACTACAACTAACTATCAGTAGATTTGTCTATTCACTGATTTGTCTCATAGAAATCGTATCGATTTAATAGTTTGTCACTACATCTTTTATTTTTAGTGATGCCTACTATTCAATCATTTAGTTCAATGTTAAGCTGAAGCATTTACTCGTATATATTCACATTTCAATGTGATTTACACTGCGAGCGTGATAGATCCTGGGTTTGAATCTCGTGAGGCAGGATCGTGGATGCGCACTTCTGAGGAGTCCCACAATAGGACAAAACGACCGTCCAGTGCTTCTAGGTTTTCTATGGTGGTCTAGCTTCAGTTCACACATGATCTCAACTATTGAAATATGTATGTAAATATTAAATGTATTCGCATTATAAATTGTCAAAGGATGAATAAAGTAAGACTAATAAATGAGGTTGTTTGAATTTGATAAAATAACACTGACTAGTGATTTAAAAAATCGAAATTTCTATTTAAAAAGATATTCATCATCAAACTTGACAATGTTCTTTCCTACATGGACTCAAAAGACTAGCTTGGTTTTGGGGTAGGTAAGATCTCTGTCTGGCAATTGGAAAGACTAGTATCTTAGAAAGTAATTCATCATGTTTTATACTATAACTATGAAACGTGTCCTTTATTGGTATGTGATCATAGTTATCTTCAAAGGATTGCTTGCATACTTTGGAGAAGTTAATTGAACAATGCTTAGGCTAGACTCTAAGAGCTAGGTGAAGATGATAAATTGGTTGATAAGATAGAAAATCTGTATCGACTGAGCTAGTTGAGTTATGTATAACCTATGACTAACCACCCCTAACCTTGATGTGATGTCTGCCAATGTAAGGGTAGATTGAAAGAAAGTTAGTAATCGATAATCTAAAACATGGCATCAGTCGAAAAATTCATTGGTAGATGCAGTCTACCTGGTTGGTGTCTGTGAGCCCATCATAATCAGTGATTTGAGACTTTAGGTGACATGGCTCAGTAGTCAGTCTCAGTGGATTAGAGATACTCATTCATTTCCTTACCTTATAGCTTGAGTTTCAAAATGATCTAATATTTTCTTTTTCAAAGTTTCAATAGTCAAATAATTAATTACTTACGTCTGTTACACCTTGTAGAGGAGCATAGGCCGCCCACCAGGATTTTCTATCAATCACCTATGCCTAATAATTTCTGCTACAATCGATACTATTAATACTTTCATTACTCTGTCATTTATCTTAACAACTAAATCTCCCTGTTTTGATGCTGTAAAGCAACTTAAACTAATATACATATCCGTCACGTTCTATATCGCTCATTGTAGTGCACGAGAACACAAGTGAGGAACAAGCAAATGTATTTAGACACAAAATTATAGAACCTCTTAGTAAAATCTGAAAACCGTACAATAAATACTTCATTTGCAAAATGTCAATCAATTATCTTAGACTTGATTGTTCTTTCATTTTCAAAACGATCATTTTCTGTTCTTGTTCTCTTCCCTTCGATCTTCTTAACCTTCTACCACCAGGATTTTCAATTTCGATTGATAATACATACTACTCATGTCTGTCCACATCAGTAGCACACACTACAATTATGGCGAACTACTAACATTCTTAAAAATTCTTTACAACGCAGTATAACATTTTAAGCAAAGATGGATAGTGGCTATCGGTGGAATCCAGTTTGACATGCGTTTCATCCTATTTGGGACTGGTCAACTGGATGTACCTACATCACAGAGTTGATGTTGACTCTGTGATTCAAACTCAGTACCGCCCCCTCCAAACGTCATCGCGTTATCCACATAGATACTGAGCCCTACGTTCGAATCTCAGAGTGAAAATCAATTATTTGATGCAGATATATCTAGCTAACCAGTCCGAAATAGGACGAAACGCGCGCCAAACTGGATTTCACTCCTATTCATTTTTGCTTAAAAAAGCTTGTGACTTAAAGCTATATCAAAGCAATCCGCACAGGATGCATATATATATATATATATATATCAAAATGAAACGGATCAATTGCAGTCCTAAAGAACGATAGGAAGATGCAAGTAAAACAACACCAAGTGAATTCAAACTTCACCCCAATGCACAAGCAGGTGGCCATCGGAACTGAGCAAGTAAGTGAATAACGCGATGGCACTATTCACTGAAAGAACAAAATAAGGTAATTTAATAGTTGAATTCTATTTAAACTTACTTTTAAACTCATTAATTCATATTTAATAAGATAAGCAATTGCAATCACTACAGACTGATTAAACATCCATTTTGAAATAATTAAAACACGTTGTCCTCTTAATCGTTTTTCTTCTAAAATAAGAAAATATTTTCAAATTTTTGTTTCTCAGAAAAGAAAGAAGGAATAATTTAGATAAGTATCAGTTTAGGGGTTGTGGAGATTGTTAAATTTTTTGATTGAGATCATGAACCGATTGATGTTAGATCACCATTGAAAACCTGGAAGCACAGGATGGCTGTTTTGTCCTATTGTAGGATTAGTTGAGGTTAGACATTAACACCATTGGATGCCGGCTCAGTGGTCCAGTAGGTTAAGCGTTCGCACGCGAGACTGAAGGTCCTAGGTCCGAATCCCGCAAATGGGATCGTGGATGCGCACTGCTGAGGAATCCAACAATAGAACGAAACGGCCGTCCAGTGCTTCCGGGTTTTCAATGGTGGTCTAACATCAATCGATTCATGATCTCAATCAAAATTTAGATAAGATTGAAATAAAAGTGGTGAGATTTATAAATTATGAACGATCTCTGAATAACGCTAAAGTAATATTGAGAATATCCACCTACTGACTAGGGTTAAATGAAGGTTATAAACCTGTGTAAAGGATAAAGATTATGATTTACAGCTGATGGTTTAGAACAGGAATTATATTTAGAGTTTTCATCACAAACTGACATCAGCTATAATATCAAGACTCTATTTAGCCAAATAGATAAGTGAATTTCGTGCCAAAATCCGAATCCTGTCATCTTATACCTGATTGGTTCATCCATAAATTATAGTCTAGCTGAATAATTGCTAAAGCAAAACCATTAAAACGAATGGATGATTATCTGCAGTTTAAAAGTTATGCAACAACTGAAATATTGATCCGGAGATTATATACAACATTGCAGAGAGTTTTCAATGCAAGAAAACTATAACATGATTTTGATAATGATATCAAGACTAAAACACGAATTATCTAGACTAGCCATCTTCTTTTGTATTGATCAGTTTGATTGATCGTGTGGAGCAAATCCCATTGGTCAGTATACTAAAACTTTACATTTTTGTACTCGTGAACACCCTCCAGAGTAGTCAAGGTAATGGTTTGATCAGGGCAGTAATTTTCTGCCAAAATCTGTCAGTATCAAAGTCCTCCAAACGACGGGATAGATTGGTATTCAGATTAAATAATTTGAGGTATTCATGAAAAGAAATCTGTTCAACCTTTATTTTTACATTGGCCAGCCTCAGACCCAATAAGGCGATAGTACTTCTTTATTATAAACTGATATAGTTTGGCTGATATTCACACAGCTCTCTGATTTTTAGTTTCATAACTTTAATTCTTTTTATTCAAGTATTATTGTATAATGATTACTATCATTATCCATATTCTTTCAACTACATGTACAATCTAGATAGTCCTCATTCATTTGTACTATAGCCTACTTGATTTTAAACACTCATCAAGTTGTGTAACATTTCATTTATGATCTGAAACTACATTACTGTTTCTCTCATCCTACGTTGCCTATATTTTTTGGTTATTAACAATATAAACTTATTCAAGTTAACACGGCTTATTATTCATCTCAATATTGACTATTTTTTCATATGTTACAATTTTGAAACACATTCGTTTTAAGATTGATCACTTCTTTGGATCATTAGCCTGAATGTATGACTTCAGAACCTGACGAAAATTTCTCGAAACAAATATTCTTCTTTCGTATATCTGTATTCTAATATGATGGGAAGTTTTAATAGTTATATAGCCCCCTATTCTATCATCTGACTAATCGTGTAAATACAATATCACCAAGAATACGTATCATTTAATGTGCATGTCTGATCACAGCTTGAGATATCAGTTGTTATTAGCAACAAGATAAGTGCTATAGATAGTTACATCCCCTGGATACAAAGATTTAAGCTATATAGTATAACTTTTTAAATGAAAAACTGTACTTAGTCACTGAGAACCGTAGAAAAATTGGAAAGAAACAAAAAGTAATCAGTTTACGAAATGGTCAGAGCTGGGGATCCTTGTAATATAACTATATTACTTCTGTATAACTAGTATCTACTCGTTTTACCTTGCATTTCATTGGTTAAATTAAGTGTTGTAAAACTAGCTGTACTCTTATTGCTTAACAAATATTTCATTTAGACAGCTCAACTGTTTAAGAATACACTGCTGTTTTATTTATCAACTTTCATATGAATTTGGTTTAAGCTAATCATGATTTATTGTGGGAACACTTGTTCTTTATGTGTTCTCACGCATAATTATCTTTGAATAGCAAAGTAATAATAATAGGAACCATAAGAAAGATAGACTTACGAATAAAATCACAAGCGCTGTCCAAAAATGATAACAGTTCACAATTTTCAGAAGGTTGAATATTTAACATAGAGTCTTTACAATTCTGGTATCTAATTAGAATTGAAGAAAACTCATTATATTTACGCGATCCAATGTTTCCGATTACTGCTTATACTCTTACTACCTCTACCACTACGGGATTTGAATTGACAACTGCATCACTGTGCTAATGTGGTATGGCAACTCGAACTGATGTATGTACGTACGAAGTTCTACGTTGTTAGTGACTGACTGATTTAATTTAAAAACGATAAGTTCAAATAACGACTGAATATTGAAGAACTCTGATGGCATACAACCTGCAGCATTATAACACCAACTAATTAAACATTAAGAAGATCAACTAGTTGCTGACTAACGTTTAGACCAATAAGCCATTTAAAACACGAAGTATTTTTACAGTGGTTTATATGGTTCTCGAGTAGACTACATAAGTAGTCATGATTGTATAATACGATCAAAGCACTAGAAAATATTAAAACTACGTAGTAGTATTCAGGTACTATCAATTACGTCTTGACGATAAAATCTAGTTAGAAGAATAGGCAAGTGAAATTCAAAACACCTACGGTGGGTATATTTTGTCAGTTTGGTCTATTTTCTTAACAGTCAAGACATTAATGCAGTTTGTAAAACTTTTTCACGAATTATTATTCAAAATAAACAACAGATTTGGTTTGCGTCAAGTTTTACCAACAATTATTTTAATATGTCTCTTAGAATTCCCAATATGAATTAAGGTTGACTGACAAACATATTGGAAATGAGATAGAACCTGACATAGATTTCACAATGTTGACTAGATTACCTTTGCAGATTACAGCTTTTAACTGGAACGACAAGAACTTTGTAGTAAATGTCTTCATTAGGGAGTATACAAAAAAGTTCGTTAAATCACCATACTTAATGCATATTTTACTGAATAAAATTTCCTGAAGCTTTGCTCAAATGCTCTGTTCGTAAGCAGATATAGAAACACTAAGTTTTGTTGTATCAAAATACTAAAAACGTATCAAAACAAGAGAGGTAAGAGTTGAACTAACATCACAATTGGTTAATAAACTGGAACTGGAAAAAATCATCCTACATTTAACTTTTTCATGTAACACAATGTCGATTGGTTTAATGTAGCAAATTTTGTTAAGTTAGAGTAACAATGGAAAATAATGAAATCAGTTCGTCATTCACAAACCCACATAGGATCATCATTATCTAATGCACAATTTATATGTGCTACAATATTCATTTGTCTATGAAGTTTACGATCACCAGCATGTTGAATTGTACCAATATATAAAACATTCGGCAAAACTTCCAATGGGTAAGTATAAAACGATTCAAGCTCCTTAAAATATAATATTTTGAAAAAAAAGAGTGTTATTATTTCCATAAGACTATTAGCTTTTATTCTATCAAACAAGTTTAGAACTAGCTTTAAAATAAATCGATCAATAAACATTGCACAGTGATGCACACTTTGTTAATTATTCATAAAACCAGCTAAATAAAGATGCTCAGTCATTATTCTTGACTATTTATCAGGAATATGTACGTGAAAACTTTCGCGCTCATTAAATAACCAGTGTAATATTTTCCAGCTCACCCACTTCTGTGCACAATCAAATAAAACATTCATTATCATACTCTTTCTATAACGTTTAGAGTATATTTAGTTCAATGCAGTAAACAATTTGATGTTCTTGGTACTCAATTAAGTTATTCTTTAAATTCATTGATTTTAATATCATTGGTAAGTATATAACTCAGACAGCATGTGATCATCAAGTTATTTTTACCCTACAATGACGCCAATCTTTTCGCAGGAAATTGTAATTTTCATCAAATATACGACTTACATTCATGTCTTTGTAATCCTATGCCCATGCGCATTGTGTCATTCATGATTTTATTTAATGCCTATGTGTTACACTAAACATAGTCTGTTCTGAGCTATATTAACGTTTGTAGTAAGTAGTATAAATGAGTTGACACGTTTTCCTTATCCGCTTTGCTTTATTTTTCCTAATTGTCATAGTAGCGCCTGTATAAATAAGTGCTTGAAGGTGTGGTAACGTCCTATTACTTTTCTTTGTGTTTATAAATTGTAATTGATATATTATAACACTAACGCTTGGATGCAATAACTTTATTGTCATTTTTGAGTTAATGTAACTTTTTGTCCACCAAAAAGTAAATCTATCGACCTTAATCCACATTCAGCGTCTTATCACCGTCGACACACAAGCAGAGTTAGCCCAGATGTAATATACGGAATTAACTGTAAGATTTATACTCGTGGCAGATTATTTTATTCAAATTGAAGTCAGATAATTGGGACACAACATGGTAGTGTACCGGTAAATTAATCCCCAAAATAAATAGCTGAGTAAGTTTTCGATATTCAATATATATCTGACATATTGATAGCCTATCAAATATATCTTTGAATCTCCTCGCTTCTGTCTTTTGATTTCACTTGGTGGGTACGATTCGTATTAGGCGTTACTAATTAAAGTGTTGTCAAACTCCAAATACCTGTGGCATCTTCAGTAGAAACGAAAATACGATAAAAATTGGTGACAAAGTCTTAAAATTGTAAAATGAGTCTTACTCGTGGTAAGTACATTATCTTATCACTTCTCATGTATGGATATAAACGAGTAAATGTCTCAAATCCTCCTAAATATAAAACATAAACTATGGAAACTTCGTATACAAACCTTCCAGTATTTTAACTAAGTGGCGGCTCCCGTTGTCATACAAAAGCTTTGCGGCTCTAACTGCATCTCCTGAAAGATTTAATGATTTAAATAAGAGAAATCATAGGTACACCTTCAGAGTCCAATGATGATGTATTCCCATCATAAACAATAACATTCCACCTGCAGTCAAGTTCTGCCTCATAAGGAATTCTGAAAGAATAAGCATTCAACTAACAAATTAGTTAAGACATCTGAATACTCTTTTTAAATTCTTAGCTGTTATAATATGTGACTTATTATAGTCGTCAGCAGTTCGTGAGTCTTAAACACATCAAAGGAATATATGTAGGAGTATTACCAAACAGGGCACAATAACATGGGTCACTTATGAAGGCGTGAGTAAACTGCTGATTCAAAATGTTATACAGTTCACTTGGTTTTATAATCTCTAGTTTGGCCATGTTGAAATAACGCGTCCAAATAGTTATGACTATCAAGGTCAAATATAGTAGTCAGTCCTCAGTAATAAGGACAGTTAGTCAATGGACCTGTGACAATCTTGACAGTTTGCTTTCCAGTGAAGGTTCAGCTTCTCCTTGAAAACGTTCACTGATGGGTCTGATACCATTTGTTCGGGTGAGGCGTTCCAGTCATTAACCACTCGGTGAGAAAAACGAAACCTCACTTTTAGTTTATTAGGTGGCGGCCTGCGAACCTTCCTGTTATGACCTCGGAAATTATTGTTGCTGGAGGAGGCAAAAATATAGGACAAAGTGACACCCAAATCGTAATTAAAGATACGAAATGCCAATATAAGGTTACCTCGTGACCTACGATATTACAAGGGGAAAAGGTTTAGGCGTTTTAAGTGCTCGTAGTAAGAAATTTTGAAAAGACCCTTCACTAATTTTGTTCTCACACGCTGAACATGCTCAAGTGAGTTGATATACTTAGTCATACATCAGCCAGATGCTTAGATACATTACTCTAAGTGTGGACATACATAGGCGGGATATAAAATTCCAAACATCTTGCCATTTGAATGCATGGCGAAATGACCGTAAGGCGTGAAGCCCTTTGGCAACTAACGCGTTGCGACGTTTAGTTGTTTTCAAGCCGTGGCTTATTATTACTTCTAAGTCTTTATGTTCCTGTATGCATGGAATAGACGTACCGTCAATGGTATACTGATAAATGTTACCGTCCCCGATGTGTATGAACATGCTCTTCCTAGAATTGATTTCTAAGCCTCAACATCGAGCCCACCTGACTAATTCGTCTAGTCTAGCTTGGAGGTCAGAACGATCAGTTTCACTCCTCATTGTCCTCCAGATTTTGACACTATCCGCAAGCAATAGTGTCGGCTGGTTAAGAAATCGCGGTAATTCATTAACGTAGAGAAGGAAAAGTAGAACGCCTAAGATGGTGCGCTGAGGCATAACACCTTGACTGGCTCCCATCCAAATAGCGTCCGATTTATCCTCAGTCTCTTTCTGCGGTCACATAAGAAGTTTCCTATCCATTCCTGCACGGCACCTGTTATTCCGAAGCTCGAGAGCTTCTGCGCAAGGCCTAAGTGTAAAACCTTGTCAAATGTTTTGCCAAAGCAAATGAATATCGCATTAATGGACAGACCGATATCAACGGCTTCCGTCTAATCAACTGCCGCAATAAGTTGGTCAAGCATGAATGCTTGTATCAAAACCCGTGTTACTCGGGCGTTAACAGATTGTATGAAACTATGTGACCTATTAACCTGACCCGAATTATCTATTCAAGTAACTTAATGACCATACTGGTTAGACTGACAGGTCGGTAGTTGGATATGATCTGTCTCTGATCATCTTTTAAAATAAGACTGACTAGCATCTTTACAGTCTGGAGGGAGTTGAGCGTGGGAAAAAGACATGCTGAAAAGCATCGAGAGTGGTCTTGAAATAATGTCCACAACAGATGACAGCAGTCGTGAGTGTAACCCATCAGAGCCCGTTATCTTACAAGACTTAAGGTTGGTGATCAATGGAAGAACAGTTTCTTCAGTCACTCCTACAGGTCCTATGGCCAGTATCTCAGTGGTGTGATTAAGACAAGTACTTTTACCAAAACACGTGGAGTAGACTTCTCGGAAATAGTTTGATAATGTCTCATCTTTTGCCAGATTTGATTCAGCTAGCAACTCTGAATTTTCGTAAGACGGTAATGGGAGAATACGTTATCCATTTCTCATCAGTCGCTGTTGTATCCACTTGACCACCGGTATCCAGTGGTATTTCATTCGTTAATTGTTTCAAGATAGAAACCCCTATAGCATGCTGCACAGTACGGCGTTTGGCATGCGTCGTAACAGCACTTACAATACTGACACATTATTCGCCATCAGTACCCATGTAACCAACATGGCTCTCAACAACCGTTTTGTTAACCAACGCCAGAAGGTTAATTACCTCTTGGATGAGTAGTGTATTGCTAGAACGGCAAAGCACACAAAGCAAATGGGAGTGATTATTTGAGCAATTTTCATATGCTGTAGGATTGAAGCAAATGCATATCTTATAGAGCCACTTGTTACACCCATCACATTGCCGTACTTCCTCCATAAGGGATCAGTAACATGGATGTCCACAATTATGAGCAGAGCAGGCCATTTTAAAAATCAACTAAAAATGGCAATACACAAGTGGATTTGAAAAAAATTCAAACCTTAACCGAAATAAATTGAGTCAAAGTTCACCAAGTATATTTTCATGCGAGAAATACATAAAGGGAAAGTCAACTGTTAACCCCCGATAAGTACCATGAATGATAACTTTTGGGATCCATTTATGGACCAATACTAGGCGTATATCATTATCGTATTACTGTTAATTAACTAAACTATTCATATCCATGTCCCTCTTTTTATGAGCATTATTTTGGCCTATGAACTATCGTTATACGATTTACCATCCTCGAATTATGACCTGTCCATTAATTACTACCCCCTCCATTCACAGTCACATTCGGCTACTCCTGTACAAATGTTGATTTCTACTTTATGGTACGATGTGGTCTGTTTGATGGGTATATAAACCCCGTATACTTGAAATAAATTATTCATATTGCAGAGGTTGAGATTTGTGTTCTGAACTTAACAGGCAGGGCTAGGCGGGAAGCAGGACAGATAAGTCCGTAGGCTGATCGCACGGGTTTTATGCATCACTGATTCGATCGATAATTCAATGATCTCTGATTAGCGGTATCATTACGTAAACATTAACAGGGCACTCAGGCGACAAGTTATAACATTAACACACACGTGCAAAATCCATTCGACCGAAGTAAATTTAATTAAAGTGGAAACGGTAGTTTTTATGTGTAATTTAACTCTGAGAAGACAAATACCATTATCCTTTGCCAGATATTTACTAGCTTCTCGTGCATCAAAAACGTCTGTTAAGTAAATTGGAGGCCTAAGCCGTCGAGTAAATCTCCTGCACTCCGTTAGCTTCATGATCACAACTATTTCGCCCATGGAGATGGTTCACAACGCTGTGGTGGACATAACTTTGGAGTCGTACTAAAGCTGGTAACAACTTATTTTCTGAATAGGCATATAATGTTCATTCAAGCTTGACGACCCAAAATGAATACAACTACACGTATCTCATCTCTGTATGCACTCTTCTGTTGCTCTGAAAATTCTACTAATACACCACTAACGGTGATTTTTCGCTACTTATTTTTAGCGTTGCCCATATACCTTTCCAATATCGTTTTCAAAAAATGTTTTTAAAAATTGGTGTGACATTCTCTTCAGGTGGGGCTCTACAGTGTCTAGTACTACGCCAGTTTATCTACTTTTCCTGAGCTACGCTCTCACCCTGTTAATTATTCGCCCATTAACCTTGACTGTTTTTCACACCAGAGTGAATCATTAGTATGGGCGACGCATTTGGAGTCCGCTCAATTTGGACAGTAGCGGTGTGACCTTATGTATCAATTCGAAGTGACTAAATTGGTGGCTGTGTACTTCTGTTTATTAGGAATACTATCCCATTTGCAATTATCGACAGTGTATCGCATTAAAGTGGGACGTAATAACTAGTTAATTGCCGCTTGAAATGCAAGAGACAAGAGCTACTGATTGGTTTGGTCTATCGCAGTCCAAGCTGTGAGGTAAATGAGGTCCTGCTAAGCAGTCTCAATACTTGGTCACAAAGTGGTCGATGTCTAATCCTAGAGGACTTTATTGCACCTATGGTAGACTAGGAAAATCTACCAGCTGAATGGTCAGATAATCTTTCGAGCAGGAGCTAGCTGATGTGGTTATCACATGTGCTCTAGTGCAACATGTGAAAGAAGCGAATAGGTACGACCCAGACTTTGAATAACTTTTACTGGATTTTATACTGACTCATAATGAGGATGACATTATGAACTTCAATTACATGCCACCCCTAGGTAAAAGTGATCATGCGGTTTTAAACTTTGACTTCCATATAATTGTCAATCACAAGCACGTGTCATCTCAATCCAGACACAGCGTCTGGAAAGCAAACATACTAGATATCATGCACTCAGCATCGTTAGCAAATTGAACAATAGACCCAGAGTCCTCAATTGAAATGGCTTGGGACGCATTTCGAAATTTCCACTTAAAACTTGTCACACCCCATATCCCTTGGACTATACCAAGGGGTCTCAAAAACTCTCCACCACGGTTCAGTAGAGGGGTTCGCATCCTTCTCCATAAGAGAAGAAAAGTGTGGGATAGGTTTAGGTTACTGGGGACTGATGAGAAAAAATCTCAGTATCGAAAAGCTCGGAATACCTGTTCTCGACCCTCTATAAGATTGTACGAAATGAAAATTGTCAAGGAACCCATAGAATGTCCTAAACGTTTGTATTCATATATAGACCAAAGGGTAAAAAGAAGAGGAAATATTCCTGCACTATGGGGAGACAGTACGACATCATCGTTAGTGGAGAACGACTTTGGTAAGGCTCAAGTGTTCTCGAACTACTTTAGCAATGTATATACCATAGAACCGCCCTTCCCGTCAGCGCATACAAATCCCACACACACACTGGGCAGTGTGACCATTAAGGATGTCAAGATACGGGGAACGATACGATGTAAGAGTGATAGCTCAGAACTCCAAAATGACCTGTAGAAATTATCTGAATGGTCTCAAATCTGTCAGATGCCGATTAGTACTTCCAAGTGTGTTGTGATGCATATCGGTCATCAAGGTACAGATACATACACGATGAATAACACTGAGCTACCTGTTATACAAACACATAATGACTTAGGAGTCATCGTTAGCCGAGACTTAAGGACTAATGCACACTGCCGTGCAATAGACACCAAAAGTTTTCGTACTTCATGGTCAATAAGTAGGGCTTTTAGTCATGTCGACGATAAGACGTTTTTGACTTTGTATACAGTGTTCGTGCGTTTTAAACTTCAGTACTGCATACAAGTGGATAGTTCTTGCCTAAACAAAGACAGTGAGCTTTT